TGACTCTCAGCCAGCCGGGAAAACTGAAGGTTTATTAGACAACAGGAACACGGTCTAAAACAGAGCTTGTAGGTACAGAAACAGGACCCCTTAGTCAGGTCCATCTTGGGGCCAGGGAGGCCAGACCCCGTCTGGGCCCCTCTCCATTTCCCCAGCCAGCTCCAAACTGAAGCCCCCTCCAACCCCTCCTCTGGCCTTTGTCTCTTTCCCGGGCCAGGAGGTCACCTGATCTCTTTGTTCTCCAACACCTTCAGTTGGCACCTTGCAGGGGAGGGGCCCAGGCCATCAGTTGCCAGGAGACGGGATGTCGGCCATTCTCTGAGCAGACAGCATCACACTGGCCCTCTAGGGCTCTGCACCAATCACACCCCCTTATCCCACCACCTAGATACTTAAGAAAGGCATAGGGGAAACTGAGGCACCCACACAGTATTCAGAGAAACCATTAAGAACATTCTCTCTTCATCACAGCATCCAGGCTTGATTTGCAGACTTCAAGAGATGGAAAATTGTCCACTTCTATTGGTATTTCGTTAGACTTTGCACCACCTTCCCAGATCTATTTCCAGTGGCTATTGCCAGCTTCAGAGCTAGAGGGTAAGGGCAAAAGTAAGAGAGCTTTGTCGGGGTGGTATGTATGTAAACTCTTCGTTTCATTCCTTCATTTCCTCGTTTTAAGTTTAGCCACCATCCACGTGCTGGAAGGGCACGAGGCAGCACTGGGCCACCATAACTTTGCTTTAATGTCATTTGTGGGCATTTAATTTCCTTGTTTTTAATGGATTTTTTTGTTGTATAACTGTCTGTACACTCGAGCTTTGATGGCATCGTTATGTCCGGTAGGGATGTGATTTTTTTTTTTTTTTTTTTCTTATTGACAGAACAATGTTGGCAAAACTTTTCCGTAGCGAGCAGGCCAAACGCTACATGTGGATGTTCGAACACTTCAAAATATTGCTCTTAGCTCAGAAATGTTTGGTATCAGGGCAAAGCTTCCAAGAATGCAGGATGCAAGAAAAATCCGCAACACGCACTGTGTGAAAGTTAACAGCGGTAGGGCTCAGATCCGATGGCCACAGCATGTCCTCCTGAGGCAACCACTGTGAGAGCAGACTGCTGGGAACCCCCTTGTTACCCACAAAAAATTAGAGCAACCCTCCTATACCCTATCGAGGGCTCAAGGCATGACCCATTCAATTTAGGTACTCCCACCCTTTCCCTACTGAGGGCTCGGGGTATAAAGCACCTACCTTTACCCATGGGGCTCAGGGAAAACCTGGTCAATTTAAGTACCCATCCCTACCCACAGGGCTTGGGACTCTGCGGATCTGCAGAACCTTTTCCCAGTGAAAGAACCTTAGACAATTATGCTCTAAACATCTATTTATTAGCAACACACACAGAATCCATATGCCAAGCAAATCTCTTATGCTCACTGTCAGGGCCGGCTCCAGGCACCAGCGGAGCAAGCACGTGCCTGGGGCGGCACATGCTAAGGGGCGGCATTCTGCTTAATTATTATTTTTTTTTGCGCTTCGGCAGTTCGGGCGGCAGTTTTGCTTGGGGCGGCAAAAATGGTAGAGCCGGCCCTGCTCAATGTGATGGGTCTCTCCCGCCTCCCCCCCGAGTGCAGCCTGGAACTGTGGTACAGCTGAGCCCTCTGTCATACCAATCTGGGTTCCCTCTTGCACTGTGAGGTTGTGACAAACTGCAAAGCCCTCCAAGCTCGCACTTACACCGACATCCACCGGCAATGTATTCATTGAATGCTCTGTCAGCCATTGCACTAGTGTAGACGCGATAAAATCGATCCCCGATCGCTCTGCCGTCGACTCCGGAAATCCACCGCGGCGAGAGGCGGAAGCAGAGTCGACGGGGGAGCGGCAGCGGTCGACTTGCCGCCGTCCTCACAGCCAGGTAAGTCGACCTAAAATACGCAACTTCAGCTACGCTATTCACGTAGCTGAAGTTGCGTATCTTAGGTCGACCCCCCCGTAGTGTAGACCTAGCCTATCAAATAGTGTCTCACCCTGTTAGATAGTACAAGCAGTTCATCAAGCTTCCATACACAGGTCTAGAAATCCCCTTACCCTGTGACCAGCACTTTCCAGTTTAGTCTTCGATCCTCAGGTGTTTCCAGGAGTTTCTTGTGTGGGGAGTGAGGCCAAGAGATGATGTCACTCCCCCCCTTTTATATCTTTTTCCAACTTGCTGGAAAGCTCTTTTGCTGTGACCTGGGTCAAACAGTTCCCATGGTGTAGTGCTAGTAGAGGTTTTTAAGGCCCGGCTTGACAGAGCCCTGGCTGGGATGATTTAGTTGGGGATTGGTCCTGCTTTGAGCAGGGGGTTGGACTAGATACCTCCTGAGGTCCCTTCCAACCCTGATATTCTATGATTCTATGATGTGATTCTATGATTCTATCTCGCAGAGGTTTCTATGGTACCCAGTTCCTGGGGTAATCCTTATGAGTGTTTGTATTTCCTCAATAGGCCATCAACATTGTGTGGCCTTTTTATTGTTGTACCTGAAAGGCTGCTTGTGGGTGTTGCCAACCTCACATGTTTCAGTAGCGCATACATAGCCAAACTTTATAACTTCATATGCAATGAGAGCACAGACAACTTAACAGGCTATTTATGTTCAACAGATTAAGACTTTAGAATGATACCTCACAAGGCATATTTTTGTACGAAACATGTCATAGTTATATCACCATGGTGAATATGGGGTGCAGAGTGTCTCTTTGGGGGGCAGAGTCCCAATATACAGACAAATTTCACCGAATGGCCAATCAAGATCCTCTCATCTGGGGGTGCCGGTGCTGCCTTTGCACGCCACGCAAGGTCAGTGATTTAGTTGGGGATTGGTCCTGCTTTGAGCAGGGGGTTGGACTAGATACCTCCTGAGGTCCCTTCCAACCCTGATAGTCTATGATTCTAGCAGCTTGATGTTAAATTGCCGTCCAGAGATGGTTCCCAAAGAGCATTGTTTTATTGTTACATTATATAGCTACCTCCTTTAACTTCACTAAACCTATCACATTATTCAATACCCCTAGGTAACAAAATTTAACCAATCATGCACTGGCACCTATATCATCTCCTCTCTGCTCATCTCTTTTTCCATTCTATCTCTCGTGCCCAAATTGTAACTTTTTGGTGACCTTCTTTGTCTGTGCAGATGGTCACCATAGATTTGCAGGTCAGAGCTTATCTAATCTATTTTACCAATTCTTGGGGCCTTTCTGTTTCCTCCCTAAACTTCCCACTGAACTGGGTGTCTCTACTTTACAACCCTTGGTGTTATAACTCTTGTTAGGGGAATTCCTGAAGTGGGGGCACCTTAGCAGCAGCAGGGCATTTTTCCCCTTCATTTTAGTGGGGAAATCCCTAAGTTTCACCCAAGGCTGGTTTAGTATGGGGGTGAGTTAAGTCCCAAGCCTACACTCCGGCTGTTAACGGGGCCGCACACATGCACTTCACTCTCTTTTACCCGTCCGTTTGGCACATTCTGATCTGAAGTCCCAAACTTTTCAATACTGCTTCCTCATAGAGGCTCTGGGTGCCATGGAACAGCTGAGATCAATGACAAGGGATGGAGATTAGTCAGGTTTCAGAGTGGCAGCCGTGTTAGTCTGTATCAGGAAAAACAACGAGGAGTCTTGTGGCACCTTAGAGACTAATAAATTTATTTGGGCATAAGCTTTCGTGGGCTAAAACCCACTTCATCAGATGCATGGAGTGGAACATACAGTAGCAGGTATAAATACACAGCACATGAAAAGTTGGGAGTTGCCTTACCAAGTGGGGGGTCAGTGCTAACGAGCCAATTCAATTAAGGTGGAAGTGGGCTATTCTCAACAGTTGACAAGAAGGGGTGGAAATCACTTTTGTAGTGCTAATGAGGCCAATGTAATCAAGGTGGCCCATTTCAAACAGTTAACAAGAAGGTGCGAGTATCGGCAAGGGGAAATTAGTTTCTGTAGTGACCCATCCACTCCCAGTCTTTATTCAGATCTATGCCATCATATTCCAGCAATGCCTCTCGCCATGTACATTGGCCAAACCAGAGAGTCTCTACGCAAAAGAATAAATGGACACAAATCTGACATCAGGAATTATAACATTCAGAAACCAGTAGGAGAACACTTCAGTCTCCCTGGACACTCAATAACAGACTTAAAAGTGGCAATCCTTCAACAAAAAATCTTCAAAAACAAGACTCCAACGAGAAACTGCAGAACTGGAATTAATTTGCAAACTGGACACCATCAAATTAGGCCTGAATAAAGACTGGGAGTGGATGGGTCACTGCAAAAACCCTGTTCTTGCCAGGTTCTGTGATGTCTCTTCACAGCCTGACTTTTACTAACGTTGCTTTATATGAGCAGGGCTTTACCACTACTTTAGTTCAGGCCCCAGGTCTCACACCAGGCCTCTGATACAGGATACTACCCTGTCCTTGGTCCCCTTCTGTTCTTCCTCTACACCTGATCTCTGGGTAGTCTCATCCACAAACACAAATACAACTGGTGACTCACAGATCTACCTCTCCACTCCAGACCCGCCTCCTTCTGTCCAAACTAAAATCCCCGCCGCTCTCTCTAACCTCTCCTTTGGAATGTCTGTCCATCAGCTCAAACTCAACAGTTAGAATGGCTAAAACAGAGCTCTTAATATTCCCCCAGCCATCCCACCATCTCTTTTTTTCTCTATCGTTGTGGAAAGCATCACTGTCCTGCCTGTCACGCAGGCCCGTATCTTTGACACAGACCCCTCTCCATGTTCTCATGATAGGTCTACATCTTGGATTTTCTTTCTGCTGAATGTCCCTAAACTATGGCCGTTCCTACCCATCCACAGAGCTGAAATTCTTGTTCAGGGCACTCATCATCTCCTGCCTCAGTTACTGCAACATCGTTTACTCTGACCTTGACAAACGCAAATGCAGAGGAAAATACCTATAAAGCTACCGCATATGTGACCTATGAGGAAAGGTTGAAAGAACCGGGAATGTTTAATCTTGAGAAAAGACCTGATAATGGTCCTCAAGTATGTTAAAAACTGTTACAAAGGAGGACAGTGATCAATTGTTCTCCACGTCCACTGGGTTAGGACAAGGAGTAATTGGCTTGATCTGCAGCAAGGGAGGTTTGGGTTGGCTAGTAGGAAAAACTTTTCAACTATAAGAGTCATTAAGTACTGGAATAGGTTACCAAGTTCATAGAATCATAGACTATCAGGGTTGGAAGGGACCTCAGGAGGTATCTAGTCCAATCCCCTGCTCAAAGCAGGGCCAATCCCAACTAAATTATCCCAGCCAGGGCTTTGTCAAGCCTGACCTTAAAAACCTCTAAGGAAGGAGATTCCACCACCTCCCTAGGGAACCCATTCCAGTGCTTCACCACCCTCCTAGTGAAAAAGTTTTTCCTAATATCCAACCTAAACCTCCCCCACTGCAACTTGAGACCATTGCTCCTTGTTCTGTCATCTGCCACTACTGAGAACAGCCGAGCTCCATCCTCTTTGGAACCCCCTTCAGGTAGTTGAAAGCAGCTATCAAATCCCCCCTCATTCTTCTCTTCTGCAGACTAAATAATACCAGTTCCCTCAGCCTCTCCTCATATGTCATGTGCTCCAGCCCCCTCATCATTTTTGTTGCCCTCCGCTGGACTCTCCAATTTGTCCACATCCCTTCTGTAGTGGGGGGACCAAAACTGGACACAATACTCCAGATGTGGCCTCACCAGTACCGAATAGAGGGGAATAATTACTTCCCTCAATCTGCTGGCAATGCTCCTATTAATGCAGGACAATAACGACCAGCAAATTATGAGTTTGCAAATGATCCCTCCCAAGGCGTACTTTGTACATAGATTTTTACAATAGTGTGTCGGGTGTGAATCCAGGGGTGTGTTCGGTCACAGCCTCGCTGCTAAGAGGTGGGGAAATCCATATCCTTCTTGCTCATTGTTTGCTATGTGTCAGTGTCTGGGTAATTGGAGCTGCCAGTGTATTCTCAAAAGCGCCATTGATATGGAACCTAAGGAACAGACAGAATAGACCCATGTCTATGACTCTTCACCTGTCCTGAGAGGAAACAGGGCTTTTCTAACCACGAGGGAGCAATGCAGCGCATTGGGGAAAATGAGGCACAAGCAGGCACAAGCTCCTTTTGTATCTCAATCATCCAGGGGCCCCACTGGTTGTTTAGCAGCTTCCTGTTTCTGAGGTACTTAAAAAACATTTTGTTATTACCTTTGGAGTTTTCGGCTCGCCGTTCTTCAAACTCCTCTTTGGCTTTTCTTATTACATTTTTACACTTCATTTGGCAGTGTTTTTGCTCCTTTCTATTTACCTCACTAGGATTTGACTTCCGCTTTTTAAAAGATGCCTTTTTATCTCCCACTGCTTCTTTTACATGGTTGTTAAGCCACGGTGGCTCTTTTTTAGTTCTTTTACTGTGTTTCTTAATTTGGGGAGATGGATGGCAAGAGAGAGATCACTTGATCATTACCTGTTAAGTTCACTCCCTCTGGGGCACCTGGCATTGGCCACTGTCGGTAGACAGGATACTGGGCTGGATGGACCTTTCGTCTGACCCAGTACGGCTGTTCTTATGTTCAGGATTCATAAAAATATTACAAAAAATCCCCCCTTTGTCACAGCCCCATTAAACTAAACCACATGATTCCGACCGTAAACACCCCAATAGCCCCGTCCCCATGCAGTGTTCCTCAATATGACAGAGCTGCACCATTTCTGAATCCCTGTGTTCCTCCCAGCCACAACACGACCCCTTCCCTGGCCCAAGTGTGTGTGTGTGTGTCCCTGGCGATGTCATGGGTTGGTAGTGAGACTTCTTGAGATTCCCTCCCCATCTGCAGCAGCCACAAACCCTCTTCCCATCAGGCTCCTTGAGTCCGTCCCTCCTGAAGTCACGTGGCCTGATTCTTACTTTTCACATTCTCCTTTTCTAGGGGAATTAGAGTCTGTTGGTCCTAAATTCTCCAGCCTTCCATGTTCATCCCCCTCCCACTGCCGTTACACCTGATTTGCTAGATTCCCTGTTGCCTCAAAATGTGGTCTCCTGACATCTACTGCTCCTGACAGCCTGCATTCAGTATCATCCCCGCTCCCTCCTATTCCTCGCTACGCTGCACCCCACCAGCCCACGCTCGCCCGTCCCGGCTTCCCTAGCGCTCTCCTTCTCTCTGGGCCTCTGAGATCAGCAAGAAGCATTTGCAGGGGACCGTCGCTCTCCGGGACACGGAGTTACCATCGCTGTGTTCTAGGAGCCCCTTTGTCTGCGTTCCTGACGGAGGTGGGGGTAGTTAAATCCCCCATAAAAAGTGGGTCCTGCACCTCTGAGCATAGGCGCCGACTCTGTGGGTGCTCCGGGGCTGGAGCACCCAGGGGAAGAAATTAGTGGGTGCTCAGCAGGCCTGCGGATCAGCTTCTCTCCCTCACTGCCAGCCCTCCCGCCCACCACAATCAGCTGTGCAGCGGCGGGCAGGAGGCGCTGGGGCGGAGGGGGAGGAGCAGGGCAGGAAGAGGCGGGGGATGGGGTGGGGCGTGGGCTTAGGGGAAGGGGTGGGATGCGGGCAGGGCCTGGGGCGGAGCAGGGGTGAAGCACCCCCTGGGAGCGTGGGACGTTGGTGCCTCTGCCTCTGAGCACCTGCGGGGCTGCCCTGGGATTTTATCCCCAGCCCATTTTAAAGCAGTAAAATAATGACACTTTTTTTTTTTTTTTTGGTGACAAATGAATTCTCCTGATCTTCCTGAGCAGGGTTCCCAGTATCCAGACCTGATGTGAGCTCCCAGCTGGAACGAGGGGAAGAGCCGTTGGTCCCAGATCTCCAGAGCTCGGAGGACAGAGAGGGCATCTGCACGGGTGAGGAATCATTAAACAAACTCAAAAACTGTCCGTGCCTGAAGGAAACAGCTGGGATTCCCTACAGAGACCTTGGAAGCTCTCCGTGTCCAGCAGGTGTCATATACTCACAGCCAATACCACTCCTGGCTTCCCACCCATCCTGACTGACATCTCGCAGTAGCTCCCTCCCTAACCTCCCTTCTCCCATGAGTTTTTGGGTGGGATGTGGAGGCAGAATTGATCCTCTCCTGACTCCCCGTGGGGAAAAGTTTGGGGAAATTCAGTTCCTGATTTTTTCTGTCTGTCTGTTTCTCCAGCACAGACTTTGGTTTGCTCTCTCTTTTCCATTCCTGTTTCTGAGGTTTCCCTCTCTATCCCAGCAGGTGATGGGACGGTGAGTGAGACGAGGGAGCAGAATTCTAAAGAGGAAGATACTGAACAAGTGGAACTGTACAGGGCATCATCACAAAGAGCCAAAGGGAATGTGCCTGGGAATTGTGAGCAGGGAGAAGGTTATGGGCATCAGCAGAGGCCAGAGCAGCAGCCGGGAAACCACATAGAGGAAAAAGTGGGTAAATCCATTAATTGTTGGGAAACTCACAAAGATGTCAAGGGAACCCCAGCCCAGCAGAGAATCCTCAGGGGAAAGAGAAACAACCCAGGCACTGAGTGTGGGGAAAACATCAGTAGATGCTCAGATCTTATTAACCATGAGAGAATCCAGACGGGAGAGAAACCCTATGAATGCTGTGAGTGTGGGAAAAGCTTCACTCAGAGCTCAGCCTTCGTTACACATCAGAGAATTCACACGGGAGAAAGACCCTATGAATGCTGTGAGTGCGGGAAACGCTTTGCTCAGAGTTCAGCTCTTCTGATACATCAGAGAATCCACACAGGGGAGCGACCCTATGGATGCTGTGAGTGTGGGAAAAACTTCACGAACAGCTCAGCCCTTATTACGCATCAGAGAATCCACACTGGGGAGAGACCGTATGAATGCAGTGAGTGCGGGAAAAGCTTCACTCAGAGCTCAAACCTTACTATCCATGAGAGAATCCACAGGGGAGAGAGACCATATGAATGCTGTGAGTGCGGGAAAAACTTCCCTCGGAGCTCAGCCCTTATAAGACATCAGAGAATCCATGCGGGGGAGAGACCGTACGAATGCAGTGAATGTGGGAAAACCTTCACTGAAAGCTCAGACCTTCTTATACATCAGAGAGTCCACACAGGAGAAAGACCCTATAAATGCAGTGAGTGTGGGAAAACCTTCACTAAGAGATCAGTCCTTGTTACGCATCAGAGGATCCACACAGGAGAGAGACCCTATGAATGCTGTGAGTGCGGAAAAACCTTCACTCAGAGCTCAGCGCTTATTGCACATCAGAGAATACACAGAGGGGAGAAACCCTACGGATGCTGTGAGTGCGGGAAAAGCTTCACTGACAAATCAGCCCTGATTGCCCATCAGAGAATCCACAGCGGAGAGAGACCCTATGAATGCAGTGAGTGTGGGAAAAACTTCGCACGTAACTCAGCACTGGTTACGCATCAGAGAATCCACACAGGTGAGCGGCCCTATGAATGCAGTGAGTGTAGGAAAAACTTCCATCAGAGCTCAGCCCTTACTTATCATCAGAGAATCTGCCAGGGCAATAAGCCATAATTAAGACCTTGTCTATGGTTGTCGAAAGATTTTTTTTTCTTTAATACTTTTGCTAATTCCCATATAGTGACCTTCAATTCTGTTTGCACCATTTGCTTCACGGTGGTCCCTCAGGGGAGTTGCCAACTTCTGCCTTTTGCAGCTAGACCTTCTTTTGGGTGAAGCCCAAGGTCCTTTCTAACAATAATGGGATTGTACATCCTGCCTGCCAGGAATGTCCTTCAGACACAGATGGGAGAAACTGGGGTTATCTCAGCTAGCTACATTGAGGTAAAATATTCATTTCCACTGTGATTTTTCGAGGCGTGAGCTACCTCAGCTATTCTTGACCCATGTCTAGATGCCCAGGTTATAGGGAAAGTTTCCTCATGACCTGACCTAACCTCTGTCGTTTTCCTAATCTCAACAAACCTTAAGCATCACATTTATACTCCTCCTCCCACTGCAAAGCAATTGTTAAAGTCACCGAGTCCCTTTTTTGGGGACTGATCGTCTCATTCCCAGTTGTTGTCACGTTGCTCTGAGTTGGGATGAATAGCAGTGATGTTTGGTACCCTTATCCTCATTTAAAATGTATTTAACTATAACAAGGAGCCTGAGCAGAGGGGAAAGCGTCAATTCAGCTTCTGTGGTGCTGAAGGAGATGGGGGGATTCCCATCAGAGTTACTCTCTGTCCGAGCCATGTAGAATTTATCTTTTCCACCTTCAAACTCTCCACCTCCCAAAGGGTCATGTGATGACATGTCCTCAGCTCACTTTGCCTGGGAGTCACTCTTTGATTTCCTTGATCCTAAATCAGACTCATGAGGACTGGAGAGGAAAATGTCCCAGACCCGGACGAGGAATCCAAATGTATCCAAAACACAGTTTGATGATTATGAGTTTAAATGCTGGTCTCCGTCCTTTTGCAAAGCAGCTTCTGGGCTTTTTCTTGCTGAGTATGGATTGTTTGCAAATTAGAAGTTTGGCTGTTCCCCTCCCCACTATGATAATGCTAAAACTTTGCTAAATAACATGACTCAATAAAAGGAGACAGTGCTGAACAAAACACATTTGAACACAATGTGAACCCGTTGTCCTGATTGTGAGTCATCAGATATAATCTGCTCTGGAATTTTACTTTATATAAAACGGAAAGTGTCTTATTCCTCTCAGTGTTGTGGATTTTTCTCCCTTTCCTAAAGATCGTTTGGTTACATAATGGGACACTAGTTTTGTTTGAGGGAATGCAGCTCAGATTTATTGGGGACTTTGAGACAAATGGCTATCTGGCAAAAAATAGTCATTTATTTTATTCTTGCTTTTCCGCCACCCCTCCATGATGACCGTTCGGTCAACTATGGAGATTCTAATGCAGTTCGGTCAACATGGGAGAATACTCCAAGAATACTCCAATAGGACATGCTACCAAGGAAACATTTGTGTTTTTAATTCTCCACTATGAAATGCTAAACAACAACCCACTCCAAATTCTACACCTTACTGAAGGAACTGCATGCAATCACAGTATTGTTCAGTTCGTTAGGCCTATATTATCTCAGGTGACCCGAGAAGAAAGTACCACCGTATGTGGCTTGGAGTTTTGCAATATGCTCACGCAGTTGGTTCCCAAAGATGTTATGAGCCAGGGCTTACAGGAGGTTACTCCTGCAGATATCTCCTAGCTAAGATTTTGATTGGTGAAATGTCTGTAACGATGCTGGTTCTGGCGGGACCCAACTGAGAGTGCCAATTCAGGACAAATTGCTTAAAGCAGGGCAGTTACAGCCCAAGGCTGGGGTTTTCCCACCTCTAAGGCAAACCAAACCAGCCAGACAGAGAGGACTTCGGTCTCACCCCACTGGCTAACCACAAGTCACACAAGCAATTCCCTTAGACACTCCAGTTTCCCAGTATCACCACCAGTACCACTCGTTATGGGGACAAATGATTATGAAAACCAATCCCCAGTAAAAGAAAAAAGGTTCTCCTGATCCCAAAGGACCGAGCCCCAGACCCAGGTCTATATACAAATCAGATCTTACCCACAAATCACGCTGTTGCCAATCCTTTAGAATCTAAAATCTAAAGGTTTATTCATAAAAGGAAAAAGATAGAGATGAGAGTTAGAATTGGCTAAATGGAATCAATTACATCCTGTAATGGCAAAGTTCTTGGTTCAGGCTTGTAGCAGTGATGGAATAAACTGCAGGATCAAATCAAGTCTCTGGAATACATCCCCAGCTGGGATGGGTCATCAGTCCTTTGTGTAGAGCTTCAGTTTGTAGCAAAGTCCCTCCAGAGGTAAGAAGAAGGATTGAAGACAAGATGAAGATCAGGCATCAGCCTTTTATAGTCTTTTCCAGGTGTAAGAACACCTCTTTGTCCTTACTGTGGAAAATTACAGCAAAATGGAGTCTGGAGTCACATGGGCCAGTTCCTGCATACTTTGCTGAGTTACAAGGCGTATCTGCCTTCTTTCAATGGGTCAGTTGTGTAGCCGATGGTCCTTAATGGGCCATCAAGCAGGCTAGGCAGAGCTGACACCAACTTGTCTGGGGCATCACCCAGAAGCATAGCACGTGTTTGAAATACAGACAGTATAGAGCCAATACTTATAACTTTAAATACAGAAATGATATATGCATATAGACAGCATAATCATAACCAGCAAACCATAACCTTGTTTTAGACACCCTATTTGACCCCCTTTATACAAGATTTGGTGCCACTACAGGACTTTGGTTGCAACCATGTTCTATATGGTCCCAGTTCAAATCAATAACGTGACAATGTCCCTAACATGTGGAGGAAATAGAAGCAGTGTTTGTGTTGAACTAATCCTTTGTAGGTGCTGCAAAGGAGTATAAAATGAAATCCGTGTTGAACATGAGAGAGATGAAGAAAAATCACTATTTTTAACAGAAACTCCGCCTGGTGTAGCTTACAGAGATTCTGATTCAGGTCTGTGTCTGGTTCCTAACAGGGACCTGTGCCACCAGAGAGATCGACGCCTAGGCTCCTGTACAGCGAATGGATAGAGATCGGCACTGAGGCTCCTATACAGCGAATGGGGAGAAATTGGCACCTTGGAATGGGATCCACAAACCCTGTCGTGCTAGGTGGCTTCTCACCTAAGCTAGCCAGGGGAGAGGCCCATGACAGGGAAATGCTACGCCCAAACCTCAGACAGAGAGCGGTGGATCTCTGCTTCTGATCCACAGACTGGGAACCAGGTGGCTTAGGTGCCTACGTCATTACTTCCGAGAATGGGGGAGGCACTTGCCTCATTCCACCCCCGGCATCCAGGGGAGGAGGCAGGCGTGGTGGCACCCACCATATCACGGTTAGCCCAGTGAGCAGAGTAATTGGTCCCAAACTTTTCCCTAGGGCAACCCACCAACCCAGCTGCAGTTTGACTTTTTGGGGACCCGCCATTATCCCTTCTCCCCTCTCCCCTTCCCAGCTGATTCCTTGCCCTGCTCCCCTGAACCACCCTGGTGCTCTCCCTCCCCATCACCTCTCCGCCCCCAGCCTCTCCCTCCTCTCCCCTGACAGTCGTCGGGGTTTAGGGCCACAAGGGAGCAGCAGATCATCTGGGTCTGACCTCATGTATAGGAGAGGCCAGAGAACAGGAGGGACCCAGGGGCACCAGTGGCTGACGCCCGTGCAGTGGCAGAGACACGCGGATGCTGATGTACCCTTGTTGCCAAGGCATTTGAGATTCGTTGTCCCAAATCTGAGGGAAGTGGAAATGAATGAGGAATTTTATATCCCCCAGTTGATAAACGAGGTAGAGGGGTAAAAGTTGAGTGGAACGCCATATACATTTTTGGGAATTAGAGAGAAAATGGGGGAAAAACTTGCAAGGACTTTATATCAACCAATAATCAAGAATTTGACAAAACAGCAACATCGGAGAAGATCTGATGTTAATACACCTCTACCTCAATATAACATGAATTCAGATATAACACGGTAAAGCAGTGCTCCGGGGGGGGGGCTGCACACTCCAGTGGATCAAAGCAAGTTTGATATAACGTGGTTTCACCTATAACGCGGTAAGATTTTTTGTCTCCCAAGGACAGCGTTATATCAAGGTAGAGGTGTATATCATTAGATGGGAAAATCTCAGGGGATAATAAATCAGTCACAGATAATTAGAGAAAAACGGGGCCATTTTTTTAAGGATGCTGTGTCACTATTTTAGAATGAAGGCGTAAGCGGGGGTGAAAACCTATATATTTGTTCACAGAGAAAAACACCAATATCAATGTTCAGTAATTTGAGAGACAGGCGGGAGGCATTATATAGACATGATCAATAAACAACAGAAGGGGATGGTTCCCTCTTGGCTGACAATCACACGGCAGCAAGGAGCCCTGGGCAATGTTGCTTTAACAGGGGATGGGATGAGGGCGAATGCAGCCAGTGGGGAGCGGGAGAGCATGGGGGTCTGGGACCATGACTAGCCGCTGGTGGCAGGAGGGGGCTGGGTTGGGCTGGGGTAGGGACGAAGCAGGAAGCAGTTGGGAGACGGTAATCTGGGGCTGGGCCGTCTCCATGGGGGGATGGACATGCTCCTCCCTTTCTGTCTTGTGCCCTTTCCATGCCCTGTTGCTGGCAGAGAACGGCCACCCAATCCCCACCCCAGAGGCAGGCGCATCTCAGGGTCCTCTTATTCTGCACCCACTAACCCCCTGCCCATTCGGGGAATGGCTGAGGGCATCGAGTTCCCCCCAACACAAGAATGATTTGCTGCAGATAAAATGGGTGGGAAAACATCCCAAATCGAAGGCGATTTTAAACTGAGATTCGAGAATGAGAGAGAAAATGGGGGCAAAACCTGAGCATAACCGATAAAAAAGCAATACTGTGAGAGAAAAGGGGGGAAACTGACGAGAATTTTATAGCCATACTTGATAATTACAGAGAAAGGGGGAAGGCTGTCAGGGTGCAGGGGCAGCACTGCAGAATGACCGCCTGCCATTGGCCCTGCGGTGAAGTAACAAACGTGAGCTGGCACGCCACAAACTGTGTTCAAATGATGCTTAAAACTTTCCCCGTTTTTTTCCCCACCTCTAATTGTGTAGTGAGTGGCAGTACCCCAGTGTGGCCATTTATTCTGGTCCCATTTGCCTGTGGGATTCTGGCCTTTGCCTAGGTAAGGGGACGGTTGGCCCCTTACTGAAACTTAGTGGGGTTTTTGGTTCGCTCTCTCCCAGTACCAAAAGAAAGGAGAAGGGTGGATGAGAAATCAGGACCCTGAGACTGACAGTCCCCGGGGCCAATGGGGAGAGGCCAATGGCCCAGGTTAGCCTGATTGACAGGGCAGGCAGGTCAATGAGGGAATCAGGAGGCCGGGGGGGTCCCGTCCTCCGTGTGAGATGGAGCTTCTTGGGCCGGAGTAGGGCTGAGTTAAGGAGAGAGCAGCAAGCAGAACCAGAGAAGCAGCCCAGGGAGCAGCCCCTGTGCTGGGAGCAGAGCTGCAGGAACCAGAGCCAGAGGGGCCAGAAAAGCAGCCCAAGGGCCTGGAAGCAGAGCAGCGGCATCAGTGCTGAAGCCGAGTGGAGCTGGAGCTGGGGCTGGAGCCGTCCGGAGCCGAATGCGGTGAGCACCTGGGGAGAGCGAGAGGGACCCCGTGCAGAAGGCCCAGCGCAGGGAGATGCCCCCCCAGCCAAGCCAGACTTGGAGAGGGATCGTAACCCCAGTGGGGTGGGGCGGGGGGTGACGCTGGGAAGAAGGGTCCTGCTACCCTGAGCGTGAAGCCATGTCCGACCTGCGGCATCCCTGCAGCACAGCCAGGGCCTGGAAGGACGGGTGACGAACAGTGAACTGTCCTGACATTCCAGAGACGCTGGTTGTGGTGTCCCCGTGGCACAGAGCGGGGTTGTTTTCCTTTAATCTTTCCCGTTTTGCCTTATTTTTTTTTAATTTATGGCTGGCTAATAAATTGTATTTGCTTGAACTGTGTGCAATGATCAGTGGGTCGGGGAAGCGTCCAGAGCGGAGAGAGCACCCCGGAGTGGGGACAACCTCGCCCCTGTCCTAAGTGACCACGACAAGGGTGGGGGTCGAGCCCCCCAGGAATCCTGGGCCCAGCCTTGTTGGGGCTATGAGGACTCTGCCACACAGGAGGGTGGAAGGGGAGCCCTCGAAGTCGGGCAGGGCTCTGGGTAAAGGGAGTGGGAGCGAGGATTCAGATCCTTCCGCCAGCCAATTCCACCGCGGTTATGAATAAACCAGGAACGTTCCCCACAATACCAGGACCATTCCCCCGTTTACACCTACAGTGGGCTTTGGGTCAGTCCATAGGCTATGATATAGAAACACTCATTCCTCTCTGAATGCCTGGATTTGACCAAATCTCCCCAGAGTGGGGTCACACTTTTCTAGGACCTTTTTCCCAATACCAGAATACCTTTTGAAGAGCTGCTGGTCCTTCCTACCTGCAGGAACAAGCAACTGCTACCCTCATGCAGCCATTCTGCAGCTGTGTGTCTGCTGTATCGCCTTCTCTTCCAGCTGGTCAGCGTTCTTATCTCCTGTTATACGAGTACTCGTTAACATGTCTGAGGGTGGCAGAGTCTCCAAGGTGATGTTTACTCTGGCCAAGCCTTAAAATAACACACCAGGAACCTCTTTCCAACTTAATCCTTTTGTATTTATCTATGTGTATAAACCCTTCAGCACACATAAGCCCAAGACAATGTGAACAATTTGTCAGCTGTGGCTGTAAAAATCTGTTCATTATAGATCCATGCTGCTAACATCCATCGTTTAATTACATCGTTTTTTACAGATGTGGTCGCCTCATCACAAAAAAGATAGACTGGCACTAGAAAAGGTTCAGAGAAGGGCAACTAAAATGATTAGGGATTTGGAACGGGGCCCATATGAGGAGAGATTAAAGAGACTAGGACTTTTCAGCTTGGAAAAGAGGAGACTAAGGGGGGATATGATAGAGGTATATAAAATCATGAGTGATGTGGAGAAAATGAATAAGGAAAAGTTATTTACTTGTTCCCATAATATAAGGACTAGGGGCCATCAAATGAAATTAATGGGCAGCAGGTTTAAAACAAATAAAAGGAAGTTCTTCTTCACACAGCACACAGTCAACTTGTGGAACTCCTTGCCGGAGGAGGTTGTGAAGGCTAGGACTATAACAGGGTTTAAAAGAGAACTGGATAAATTCATGGAGGTTAAGTCCATTAATGGCTATTAGCCAGGATGGGTAAGGAATGGTGTCCCTAGCCTCTGTTTGTCAGAGGATGGAGGTGGACAGCAGGAGAGAGATCACTTGATCATTACCTATTAGGTTCACTCCCTCTGGGTCACCTGGCATTGGCCACGGTCGGCAGACAGGATACTGGGCTGGGTGGACCTTTGGTCTGACCCAGTATGGCCGTTCTTATGTTCTTATGTTATGTTCCACTGATTTTTTTTTAAGAGTTTTTTTTTAACAGTTTGGTATCTCCGCTACTTTTGAGCCATCATTAATTTCATCCTCGCCCCCTTCATTTGTTAATTCATACACACACTTGCTCTCCAATACTACTTTCCCCCTTGACAAATTTATGCCTGTTCATCTTAACCCCTGTAGCTTAGCATCAGCTCATTTATGCTAGTGGTGAAAGATCAGGTTAGAGAAATGTGGTGTTAAAAAACTTTGTTTCAGTAAAAGGACCAGGGTTACTTTGGGGCTAGTTTTTAAGTGACTTTGGGCTACTAATGCAGTAGGAATCTGGCAACCGCTCCAAGCCTGAATCCACTGCACCACTATTTCTGTGCTGAGCCATGCACCAAGCCTGAAATTCTGCCTAGTGGATCTGGTAGGTTCGTTTCAAAAGGCCGTGTGGTGAAGCGATTGAGGTGCGGCTCTGCTGTATTAGAGAGACACCTGGAATTACGGTGTACATGTCTAGTGGGGAAAGTAATTAAGCATCGGAGCAATTTCCCAAAGGGGTCGTGGTGGATTCTCCATCTCTGACATGTTTTTAAATCAAGGATGAATATTTTTTTTCTAACTGATGCTCTAGGAATTAGTTTGGGGCAGCAGAATGGCCCCTTCTGGCCTTAAAATCTGTGAATAATCTGCCCAGCTTTGTCTGTGTTCACCTTCTGCACCCTCTCTTACCTCATCTGCGAAGCGTAGGTAATGGTGACAGGTACCGCCCCAGGCTGTGAAGCCTCAGCCAGTACAAACTGCTGAGAAATACACAGACGTGTTAACAGGGGCCAGCCAAAGCAGAAGAGATTAATTTGTGTTATTCTGCCTCGCAGCCCAGGGCAGTCTCCAGGGTGTGTTGGGGGGAGGTTCCGGCAACCAGCCATGGACAGGTTTTTGCTGGGTGGTCCAGGCCTAGCTCACAGCCTTTTAAAAGCAGGTCGTGTGTGGGTGTGGGGTGTCTGTATCTCAAGAACCCTTTGACCCCAAATGACTGCAAATTTGCACCCCTGGCCCTTGTGTGGCGCATCAGGTGTGCAGCCAATCAGACTGTGTATGTGAATTTAAAGAAAAAGTGTGAACGATGTGGTTGGAGAAAGAAATGCTGTAGCCACACAACAGTGACCAAAATATTACTAGGAGTCCGGTGGCACCTTAAAGACTAACCGATTTATTTGGGCATAAGCTTTCGTGGGTAAAAAACCCGACTTCTTCAGTTGCATGGAGTGAAATGCATCTCCATGCATTTGAAGAAGTGGGGGGTTTTTTACCCACGAAAGCTTATGCCCAAATAAATCGGTTAGTCTTTAAGGTGCCACCGGACTCCTCGTTGTTTTTGTGGATACAGACTAACACGGCTACCCCCTGATACGTGACAAAATATTACTGCAGTTGATAATGTGAGCTGGCTACTTTACTGAAAACTGCCTTCTGTTCCCTGGCAGCTGGAGGTTGCTAATCGATTTCTTTCACAAGGAGGTTGTGTTGCTTCTTTTCTTGCAGGGGAAAGTCTCACTTGATTCTTTGATTTTATGGAATCATTCCTCAACCTTTGCCCGCACAGTTTTCACTTAAAGTTACAGAGGCGGCTTTTCTCCGAGCCCTGTCAAGGCATTTGCTTGTGGGGACTGGCTAGCATTTTAAGGCAGAGTCGTATGGATTGAATACTCGCGGCGTGACAAAGTTAAAAACCAGACGATAGAAATGAGCAAATGTACAGAATAAAGTTGATCTGAAGCCCACAGCACCCAAAGAATTAAACAGACTAAAATCGGAGCGTTCCGCTGGTGGTTAGCACACTCTGCTGAGAAGCCTGTCTTCAAATCCTTTCGGGGTGATGTTGGCAGACCCAGCACCAGCTCATGCCCAGACCCTGAGGCCTCGCTGAACCATCATTGCTGGCAACCAGTCCGGCTCTCGTGTGTGTTCGTGTTGTAAAAGAGGGGTTGGATTTCTAAAAAAGGCGTTTAAATGTTATGAAATGCTTGAGTTGTTGCCTGCATTAATCTCACTTGTAATATCTGTCTCCCACATTATAAGGCAGGGGTCGGCAACCTTTCAGAAGCGCGGTGCCGAGTCTTCATTTATTCACGCTAATTTAAGGTTTTGCGTGCCAGTCATACATTTTAATGTTTTCAGAAGGTCTCTTTCTATAAGTCTATAATATAGAACCAAACTATTGTTGTATGTAAAGTAAATAAGGTTTTTAAAATGTTTAAGAAGCTTCATTTAAAATTAAATTAAAATGCAGAGCCCCCCAGACCGGTGGCCAGGACCTGGGCAGTGTGAGTGCCACTGAAAATCCGCACGCGTGCCATAGGTTGCCTACCCCGTTATAAGGTAATAGTTAAATGTTTGCTCGGTAACTATACAAATATTTGCTCTGCCACTGTAAACCATCAGGAGGGAGGCGTCATTAAGTGTGACATACACAAAAGGGGTCATCTCTCCACCAAAAGGTGGCCCATAGACACCAGACAAGCCTCAGTGGACAAAAGACTTTGTTGATTCTTCCCCCCACAGCCATGAAGAGGAGAGCTCACCCCATCAGCTTGAACGCCGGGGGGGGGGAAGGAAATGAAAATCCCAGTTAAAAAAAAAATTATGTCTACGCTGCTTGAACTCTGAGGGGCAAAGAACCCAACCAAGTCAGGCAACCAAGCCCAGGCCTCTGCCCCCAGCAAGCGCAGCTGGGACACGAAATGGGAAGAGACGGGGAGAATTGTTTGTAATGTTTTATTGACAATAAGTAACTGGACAGCTGGAGAGTAAAAGGCGGATGGGAAAGGAGATTCCCCAGCTACTGAGAACAGTTTTCTTCATGGCACCACAGTAGCACAAACATGCAGGAACTAACAGAGGGAATTACGGCGCGAGAGTCTCACTTGCAGGAACGTTTCATAAATCTGTGTCACTCATGTTCCCTTTTCTTCTCGGCATTTTTCTAGCCCTCACTTCCCCTCCCTGTTTATTTTCCCGGGTCTCTCTCACTGTTCTCCCCTCCCCGCTGCAGATCATTGGCTTCTCCATTCTTTCCCCTGATTTGATCCCTTCCCCTCTTTCTGCTCCCTGGCCGGTTCCCCTGCCCAGGCATATTTTCCTTTCACGCTTTTCATTTCTAATTTGTCACCATTTCTCCCAGTCTCTCCCTTCATTCTTGTTTTATTTTAATTCCCATTTTCGTCTCGCTTCTCCTTGTCCCTCTGGTTAAACCCACCCTGCCCCTGCCAACCTCAGGAGTTTAAAAAAAAAAAATCATGAGACTGACCGAAAATGATGATTTTTTTAAAAGATTATATAATGGTTTGGGGTCTATCTGCACCCCTGCCCATCCCACGTGTGTGTGTGTGTGTGTGACAATTTCACAATGTGGCCAGCTGTCTGGGAGTTACAGGGGAAGGTGACTTCGGCCCCTGCGGGAGAGGTGCTGGCTGGGAGACCCCCGTGAGCAATAATGACACAGATTTGTACAAAACACTCCCTGCCCCCAACCCTCCAAATACTGGTGCTGCAGGGAGGAAGGGGGGAGGAGGTTTCAGGCGTCAGAGATAAAGTGCCAGGGGTGCTGGGGAGATGAGAGTCCTCCAGGGTCACAGAGACTGGGATGATAGCTAGATAGAGATGCCCATGGTCAGAGTCATCCTGGACCACAGAGAACAGTGTGCTCTCCCTCCGTCACTCCCTGCTCTCCGTGGCTTCAAAGTCCAGCGACTCCAGGGAGCCGGCGGGGTCGCAGAGCCCACAGGGAGAAAATCGGTAGGACGACAGCAGTCCTCCACAGTCATAAAGACTAGGACACCGGAGGCTAGGCAGGCCGGTTTTGGGGTCCCCTGGGGGACACAGCCTGAGCCAGGATCTCCACACCCAGAGCCAGGGGCGGATTCTCTCGCCGGGGATGGAGCCCGGCGGGAAAGTGAAGATTGGGGCCTCGCTAACCGCGTCAGAAAATGTCACCTGCCCCCGTTCACAGTCCAGAGAAACCCGGATCCTGCTGGGGACCCGGCGCAGGGGCAGGCGGGTGGCTGGGGAGGTGAGAGCCCGGAACTGACCCCACCAGCCCCGCTCCACTGCCCAGATCCCCTCCTCAGGGTTAAGGTTGATCCATCCCTTCCTCCTCACAGACTCTCTGGCCACCCCCACCGCCCAGTGTCCCCCCTCCTGCACCCTCACCTCCACCTCCCAGCAATGTCGCCCCGAGGCGAAGCCCTCGCCGCCCAGCACGCAGCGCTCAGAGTCAAATCGCTCCGGGTTGTCGGGCAGAACCTGCCGGGTGTGTCCCCATCTCACGCTTTTCCCATCCGCAGAGAGGACAAGTTCGGGGTGAGCCGTGTCTGGATCCAGGGTCACATTCACTGCGGGGAGAAGAGAGAGAACCAGAGCATTAGGGGCAGAGCTAGAGGCAACGGGGTCTTCCTAAAAGTGTGGTGGGGAGGAAGAGGCCCCACCCCCTATGTGGCCCTGCCCTATCTGTGGCCCCGCCCCTCCTCTTCCTCCTAAGGCCCTGCCCCCCGGCCAATCCAGAAGTCGGAGCCAGGGAGCCCAGGCCCCTCTAACATGACCTGGCTAAAAAGCTGCAGCCGGGTCATGATAAGCTTGGGCGGCTGTGGGGAGCCGTGGGTCTCCACCTGCCCTGGGAAGGGGACCTGCGTGGAGGGCTGCTCTCAAGCCCCCCCCACTCCAGGCAGGTGGAGTGCCCACGGTTCCCCACAGCTGCCCGGGCGGCTCATATCATGACCCGGCTGCAGCTTCCAGGCTGAGGAGGTGGCCGGGCCCATGGTGAAAAGCCAGGCCCATCCACTTTCAAAGGGGGGAGGGTCATGACCCCTTGGACCCCCCCGTTTTGGCACCCCTGGGCAAAGCACAGCCCAGGTGGAGGCGGGGGGGAAGGAGGTTGGGACCATTTCTCACAGTCCCCAGCAGCCTTGTTCTGGCCGGGACCATCCTGGGTCCCAGGGAGCTGCCTCTGCCCTGAGGCTGAGCAGAGGGGTCACTGCAGTTCCTCGTTTCTCGCTTTCCCAGCAGGAAGGTGTCAGGAGCTTTGAGTGAGGAGGGGGCAGGTACCAGCTTTAAACCCCAGCGGGAAGCTCCACTCCCTAGCCGGGGGGCCGAGAGGGAAGTGCAGCATTGGGGAAAAGCCACCCAAGACCAGAGAGGACCCGGTGGGGGCATTGGGTGGGGCAGCCCCCAGCCCCGAGAGTAGGGAGGGGAGCAGCACCCGAGGGACAGCATCCCCCCAATCCATGGAGCCGTGAGCAGCTCCAACAGCAGCGCCCAGCCCTGCCCGGGGGAAAGGCCGGATGTCGGAGTCGAGCCATGGGGGTAAAGGCGAGGGCCGGTGATGGAGCTCTGCTCGGGTGCTGGGCAGGGAAGAGCGTTCCTGTTCAGGTTGGCGTCAGGACTGCCTGTGTGACTTCAGCATGGGGATCCCCTCATTGTGTTTCTATGCTGGGCTGGGTGCGATGGTCGGCGTTAGTTTGGTTGGTAACTTCAGCTACCCTCCCGCGAAGACGTTTTCACTGAAGATTTCTCATGGTTGAAAGACAATCTCCACCGGCAAACTCACCCTGTCTGTGTGCTCCTAGGGGTTCCCCTCTTTTTGTCTCCAGTTTAGGCGGCAGAGTGGCTGGAGGGGGAAAGGAGAAACAAGAGGCGATTTCAGGCATTCCTATTTATAACAGCATTCCCACTCTGAACTCATAGAGCTGTGTGTTAATCATGACAGAGAAACAGAAACAGACACACACTTAGGTATTTAATATAAATTAATCTGAAACCTTCTCTTCCCTCTCATAAGAACGGCCGTACTGGGTCAGACCAAAGGTCCATCTAGCCCAGTATCCTGTCTTCCGACAGTGACCAATGCCAGGTGCCCCAGAGGGAATGAACAGAACAGGTAATCATCAAGTGATTCATCATTCCCTGTGGCTCATTTCCCCACTCCTGGCAAACAGAGGTTAGGGACACCATCCCTGCCCATCCTGGCTAATACCATTGAGGGACCATTCAGGCATCTCCCAGCCATGCAATCAAAGCCATGAAGCCTCACAACCATCGTAGGACATACAATCTGCGAGAGAGAGTTACTTTTCCCTCATCCGCCCCTTCAGACTCCAGCTGGTTTGTTTCATTCCTTTGCTGCCTTTTGGCATAAGCTAGACCCAGATGACGCAAAGATTTTTATCATAACAGGAACTTTACCCACTTAGGTCCCTTTGACACTAACAGGATGTTCAGAGCTTGCGAAATCCCTGGCTCTAATTGTGAGCTGTTGGGTCTGTTTACTCAGCGTCTCTACAGAGAACAGCACAATGGGGCCCTCGTCCACCATAGGCAGAAATATGAACAAGAATAGAATCATTTTATCCATGGGGGAAACTGAGGCAGGGGGAAGGTTGGCTCACTGGGCCTGTATCGGCTACAGGAGAGAGGGGAGCCCATTTGTGACTCCGCTCTTCAGTGGCTGCAGGGCCTGGTGCAGAGCTTGGCACGGGCTAAGAAGAAGCCAGCCAGAGTTACATCCCTATTACCGTGGCCCCCGTGTGTCTTGGCCAGCGTGCAGAGTACCAGAGTCCCAGCTTGTCGCTGCCCACCTCCCTCTAACCGTGGTCCACCCCCTTCCTCTTCCACCCCGCCTGCGACACACGACTGGATCAGAGCGATGGACTGGATCCAGATTGAACACGTGGCCTTTCATTTTGGGTGCCAACCTTTAGGCCCCTGCAGTCTGGTTCTCAGAGGGGTTGGGCACCTGTAGCTCCCACTGCCTTCACCTGCAGCTGTGGATGCTAAACAGCTCTTGAGCATGTGCCTGCAGTTCTCAAGTTGGGAAAGAAACACCAGTGGCCAAAATTAGGCCATTTTGCTCAATTTGGGCCTGAACGTTGTGATCTTCGGTAAGTCATGAATTGATGCGAGACATCGTGGTCCCTGGGCCCCGGCTACATCGTTCTCTGCTTTCCATTACTTATTACATTAAGCATTGGGAATTGGTATATGGGTCATTTCTTCTGCTCAAGTTTGGACGGACCGAGACTGTGTGATTATGCCAACTTGCTTGGCTTTGGCCCAGTGAGGAGTTTGCTTGACATAAGGAATTGTTGTTTTAAGTGACCTTGTTATTAAGTGATGTGCTCATAAATTGCTATGTAACAGCGGGGTAGCCGTGTTAGTCTGAATCTGTAAAAAGCAACGGAGGGTCCTGTGGCACCTTTAAGACTAACAGAAAAGGTGCCACAGGACCCTCTGTTGCTTTTTATAAACTGCTATGTGGCACAAAGAGATGTTTCGACCGCACAATGTGCTGAAAGACAACAGACCCCCAAAATGTCCTGCCCAGGAGCAGTTAGCAAGGTCGAACAACCCCCAGGTACAGAAAAGGGTCAAAGTGACCTATGCATAATCAATGGTAATCAACCAATCAGAAAAGAGAACAACAACATGCAACTATCTTGGACAGCAAAACCCTTGGCCTTAAAAAGTTGGTGTACGTGTTTTATATGAGTTACATAAGATATTTAATATTCGTAACACTCAAAGGTGATTGGAAAAGAACTAATACATATATAATTTGGATGTGTATAATGTCGGACATTGTAAGGCGTAGTCAGAGCGTCGTAGGAGAAATCCGCCTATGCCCCAGGAGATGGTAACTGGCCAGTACTTCTTTGTCATTTCTTATTTTAATAGTAATTGTAATGGCAAGGCATGCTTTTGGTACACATAAAGGTTTGAATTCATAAACCTGAGTGTTTTGGTCCCCAAGCTTATGCCCAAATAAATCTGTTAGTCTTTAAGGTACCACAGGACTCCTGGTTGTTTTTGTGGATACAGACTAACACGGCTACCCACTGATACTTGGTCCCCAAGCGTGTGGCATTCTCACCCAACAATTAAATAGATGCATCATCTAACTATGAACCAACTGGCCAGACCCATTCTCCTCCCACTGTCTCACAGGTTTATCCCAATTTCCCCTCCTAGATCCCTTCTAGGTACCTTTGAATTTCCTCAGAGTCTCCATGAGAGCATTAGTTTTCTGGGAGAAATCACTGAGTCTCACTTCCAGTTCAGGAGAAATCGCCACTGGCTGCTGGAACTTCCCCGTCTCACACCTGTACAGGAACAATTTCACATGGTTATATTTCATTTAGTGACTCATTATAAGTTCTTGCCAGTGAGTCGCTGCTGTAATGGGCCTGGAGTTAGAATTCCTCTCCTCCTCTCAGCTTCACAGCAGAGCAACCTTCCCCCAGAGATCCGATTCATATTCTTCAACTCTGGTCTGGAGAGATCCGCGCTGGGGATAAAAGGGGAAATGAGTCATAGAATATATCATAGATGATTAGTGTTGGAAGGGACCTCAGGAGGTATCTAGTCCAACCCCCTGCTCAAAGCAGGACCAACCCCAACTAAATCATCCCAGCCAGGGCTTTGTCAAGCCTGACCTTAAAAACCTCTAAGGAAGGAGATTCCACCACCTCCCTAGGTAACCCATTCCAGTGCTTCACCACCCTCCTAGTGAAACAGTGTTTCCTAATATCCAACCTAGACCTCCCCCACTGCAACTTGAGACCATTACTCCTTGTTCTGTCATCTGGTACCACTGAGAACAGCCGAGCTCCATCCTCTTTGGAACCTCCTTTCAGGTAGTTGAAGGCTGCTATCAAATCCCCCCTCACTCTTCTCTTCTGCAGAGTAAACAAGCCCAGTTCCCTCAGCCTCTCCGCATAAGTCATGTGCTCCAGCCCCCTAATCATTTTCATTGCCCTCCGCTGGACTATCTCCAATTTGTCCACATCCTTCTTGTAGTGTGGGGCCCAAAACTGGACACACTACTCCAGATGTGGCCTCACCAGTGCCGAATAGAGGGGAATAATCACTTCCCTCGATCTGCTGGCAATGCCCCTACTAGGGCACACTGTCGACTCATAGCCAGCTTCTCATCCACTGTAACCCCCAGGCCCTTTTCTGCAGAACTGCTGCCTAGCCACTCGGTCCCCAGCCTGTAGTGGTGCAGGACCTCCATGGCCAATTCATTCCATGGCCAATTCACTCCTTCACCTCCAGGCTCTCAGGGACAGGAGGTTCCCATGTTAGGTGTTGTAAAAATCTGCCCACTAAAGACCGCAGGGATGTAATATCTCCAGGAAATACTTTCGGTCGATCTTTCCCACTGAATGGATAATTCCAGAGTCTTCCATAAAAGGGTGAGAACTTCAGGATTTGTATCAATAATGTGACCTCCCCCACATATTTGGCTGTAGAGCCCCAGGGAGATGCGGTGCTAACATCCTCTCCAAGCTCTTCCCCAGCATTGTGAAGTGTGAGGGGGTGTGAGGGAGAGCCATGTATCTGCTCAGGGTAGATCTAACATCCTAGAGCAGAGAGAGAGAATTTCAGCACTACCTGACACACATTTTATATTCCAAGGAAGGGATATTGCAAATATAGAATTGTAGGACTGGAAGGGACCTCGAGAGGTCATCTAGGCCAGTCCCCTGCACTCAAGGCAGGACTAAGTATTATCTAGACCATTCCTGACAGGTGTTTGCCATACTGCTCTTAAAAATCCCCAATGATGGAGATTCCACAACCTCCCTAGGCAATTTATGCCAGTGCTTAACCACCCTGACAGTTAGGAAGTTTTTCCTAATGTCCAACCTAAACCTCCCTTGCTGCAATTTAAGCCCATTGCTTCTTGTCCTATTCTCAGAGGTTAAGGAGAACAATTCTTCTCCCTCCTCCTTGTAACAACCTTTTATGTCCTTGAAAACTGTGATCATGTCCCTTCTCAGTCTTCTCTTCTCCAGACTAAACAAACCCAGTTTTTTCAATCTTCCCTCATAGGTCATGTTTTCTAGACCTTTCATCATTTTTTATGTTTTTCTCTGGACTCTCTCCAATTTGTCCACAATTTTCCTGAAATGTGGTGCCCAGAACTGGACATACTACTCCAATTGAGGCCTAATAAGCACGGAATAGAGCGGAAGAATTACTTCTCGTGTCTTGCTCACAACACTCCTGCTAATACATCCCAGAATGATATTTGCTATTTTTTGCAACAGTGTAACACTGTTGACTCATATTTAGCTTGTGATCCACTGTGACCCCCAGATCCCTTTCCGCAGTACTCCTTCCTAGGCAGTCATTTCCCATTTTGTATGTGTGTAACTCATTGTTCCTTCCTAAGTGGAGTACTTTGCATTTGTCTTTATTGAATTTCATCCTGTTTACTTCAGACCATTTCTCCAGTTTGTCCAGATCATTTTGAATTTTAATTCTATCCTCCAAAGCACTTGCAACCCCTCCCAGCTTGGTATCGTCCGCAAAGTTTATAAGTGTACTCTCTATGCCATTATCTAAATCATTGATGAAGATATTGAACAGAACCGGACCCAGAACTGATCCCTACGGGACCCCACTCATTATGCCCTTCCAGCATGACTGTGAACCACTGATAACTACTTTCTGGGAATGATTTTCCAATCAGTTATGCACCCACCTTATAGTAGCTCCATCTAGGTTGTATTTCACTAGTTTGTTTAGGAGAAGGTCATGCAAGACAGTATCAAAAGCCTTACTAAAGTCAAGATATACCACATCTACCGTATCCCTTCATCCACAAGGCTTGTTACCCTGTCAAAGAAAGCTATTAGGTTGGTGTGACAGGGTGAACTCACCCCGCACTCGACGGGGAAGGGTTAACCCCTCACTGTGGGCTGGGCATAGTCCAGATGCAGCACTAGGATAAAAGGGAAAAGCCCAACTCAGTCCGGGCTGGCCACAGAGGAGGAAGGATGCTCATTGCTCGCTTCAGCCCAAGGGCAGCTGAAACTCCTGACCGTGAAAGACGGAGACCCAGACTGATGCCCAAGTGCCTGTGGAGGTCCGAGAGGGATCAAAGTCACCAGGAAACACACACGCCGAAAAGCCCTGAGACCCTGACAACACCTCAGCTACAGCTCCAGGAGATATGGTAGGAAGTGGCCCGGGGGGTGGAGGGGGCGCTAGTTATTGTCCAGTAGGAAGTGTTTCGGTGGGAGCCTCGCTGACTCAGTGGCAGAAAACCCCGTCACTGTTAGGGCCCTGGGCCAGGCCCCGGAGGAGCAGGGTGGGCCCAGTCCCCCTAGCCTATCCGCCACCCCTCCCCCAAGTGGGGATGCATTGACTCTCGCCAGTAGGCCTTAGTGCCCTGTGACTGAGGGCAACTTCATTGACTCTGGCCGGGCTTCCCCGTGAATCAGAGTCAATCCCATTGACTCTGGCCGCTAGGCCTCACTCCCCTGCATACCAGGGTTACCCTGTTGATTTTAATCCTTAGACCTCCGCACCTCGAGGTAAAGGACGGCTTGAGGGACAGGGTGAACTCACCCCGCACTGGACGAGAACACCCACCCCGCCACACGGGGTAGGGAATGTGAGCAATGGTCACTGAGAGGCCTGCATTAAGAAGCCCAGGAAGAGAGAAGACATGTTTTCCCCCTTATGGATACTTGTATTTCGCCACTCGGGGAATCTTAGGCCTCAAAATGGAGTCAGATAAAGACATTAAGCTGACTGCTCTGCAATTCCCTGGGTTGTCCTTAGTTCCCTTACAGATCAGCACTAGATTTGCCCTTTTCCAGTCCTCTGGAATCTCTCCCGTCTTCCATGACTTTGGTTCAGATACCTCCTCAGTCAGCTCATTGAGTATTGTAGGATGTATTTCATTGGGCCCTGGTGACTTGAAGACATCTAACTTGTCTAAGTCATTTTTAATTTGTTCTTTCCCTATTTTAGTCATTCAATTGCTACTAATCTTTTTGGTAAAAACTGGAGAAAAAAAAAGTCATGTCGCACTTCTGCCATTTCCACATTTTCTGTTATTGTTTTTTCTCTCTCATTGAGTAATGGGCCTATCTTGTCCTTGGTCTTCCTCTTGTTTCTAATGTATTTGCAGAATGTTTTCTTGTTACCCTTTATGTCTCTAGCTAGTTTAATCTTGTTTTGCACCTTGGCCTTTCTAATTTTGTCCCTACATACTTGTGTTAAGTTTATAGTCATCCTTTCTAATTTGACCTATTTCCACTTTTTGTAGGACTCTTTTTTTTTTTTTGAGTTTGACCTTTGCAGATCTCCTGGTTAAGCCACGGTGGTCTCTTGACATACTTCCTATCTTTCCTACTCAGTGCAATCGTTTGCTCTTGTGCCCTTAATAATGCCTCTTTGAAAAACTGCCAACTCTCTTGAATTGTTTTTCCCCTTAGACTTGCTTCCAATAGGATGTTCCCTACCAACTTGCAGAGTTTTCTAAAGTCTGCCTTCTTGAAATCCATTGTCTTTATTGTTCTTTTTTCCCTCCTACCATTCTTTAGAACCATGAACTCCACCATTTCATGATCACTTCCGCCCGAGCTGCCTTCCACTTTCAAATTCTCAACCAGCTCCTCCCTATTGGTCAAAATGAAATCTAGAACAGTCTCGCCCCTGGTAGCTGTCTCCACCTTCTGAAATAATTTTTTTTTTGCCAATGCATTCCAAGAACTTATCGGATAATCTGTGCCCTCTTGTGGTTTTTTCCCAACAGGTGTCTGGGTAGCTGAAGTCCCTCATCACCACCAAGTCCTGGGCTTTGGATGATTTTGTTAGTTGTTTAAAAAAAGCCTCATCCATCTCTTCTTCCTGGTTTGGTGGTCTATAGTAAACCCGTACCATGACATCACCCTTGGTTTTTACCCCTTTTATCTTTAGCCAGAAACTTTCACAGGTCTGTCTCCTCTTTCCATCTCAACCTCAGTCCAAGCGTATACGTCTTTGATATATAAGGAAAAACCTCCTTCCTCTTTTCCCAGCCTGTCCTTCCTGAGCAAGCTGTACCCTTCTATGCCAATATTCCAGTCACGTGTATTATCCCACCAGGTCTCTGTGAGGCCAACTATGTCATAGTTGTGTTTATTTACCAGCATTTCTAGTTCTGCTTATTCCCCATACTTCTTGCATACGTGTACAGACAACTAAGATGCTGATTTGATTTCCCCTCATGTTCTCTCTCGTCTCTCCTATGTCCCTGCTATAACGGCCCCTGCTCCCCGCAGATACTTCCTTCTATCTCACTGATCAACTCACGGAGTTTGTGAAGATACGGAACAAAAATATCCCCAATCTCCTTGTCCAGCTCTTCCAGCAGGGGTCACTCTTATTCCTCCAAGAACTGAAATTCAGACCATTTTCTGTCCCTCCTTTTCTATCTGTTTCTGTAAAACAATAGGAAAAGAGCTGGTCGGGAACATGACGGCAGCCAGGGTTTTTTTTTCAGGGAGTTACAGCGTGTGTAGGAGGGAGAACTTCTTTGCAAACCCTGAGATTTTTGACACTCAACTCTACCCTGTGGTTCTTGGGAGAGGATCCTCTCCCACCTTTGCCTTTTAGCCCCAATAGCCCTGACAAGGGATGTTTCCATGTCGGACGTGGTTAGGATGTTGTGTTACCAGTGGCCTCTGGGAAGGGAGATCCAGAGCCGCTGGACTCAGCATTACACTGACAGAGATGCCAGAGGGGGGAAAAACAGAATCAAATGATCCAACCATGCAAGAAATGACACAAATACAGTGAAAGCCACAAGGGCTAGAAATGAACTCATTCCCTGAAATGAAAGCTTAGATTCTGCCCGTGAATCTAACACCGAAAATCTATGATGATGGAGAAACACACACCAGCCGACATTCACCAAGGCCACCGAGGAATCTGCCTACAAACAAATCTCCATGGGTCAATAACAGGTACCTACCAGACACTCCTGACTTGTCCCCTCTGCAGTCACTTTAAATCCCAGGAGCTTTTTTTCCTCTCTTCCCTCAGAGTCTTCAGATGGGCCTGAATTTTTTTCCTGTAGGAACAGAGATGCTTTGGGAGGTTTCATGTTGAGAGGGGTGTGTAGTAGATGTGCTGATTTGTGTTAAGCCTGGGTGGGGTTTGCCCTGGCGCTGTCCAATGCCCTAGAGTTCCTATTCCTACGTAAAGCTCCTGGAAGCAGTGGATTCTGGGAGGTCTCAAAAGGCTGCACGGTGGGACGAACAGAACCACTTTTGCTGATCCTTGGCCACTGTGCACAAGAAAACAGCTCAGACTGACACAGGTCAGCACCGACCAGAGGCTAGTTTTGTTGCAGCCTAGTGGTATTTGTGCCTGGGACCTTTATCAAGGAGTCTTTTCCTCCCACGCTTCATCACTGCTGGGGTAGCGGCATGGCCTAGTGGCCAGTGCCCCAGGCTGAGAACAGACCTGGGTTCTAGGCCTGGCTCTTCCCCTGACCTGCTGGGTGACTTTGGAAAAATCACTGCTTTCTCCTCCCCCCCCTCCATTAGGCCATCACCTGTGATATCTGTCCCTCACTTTTGAGGTCAGAGATCATCTGGGGTCTGAAGTGGCTGCTGAGATGGAAATAATAATAAATACTGTGATACAAATCAGTAACAATAACAGCGTTTCAGAGGGGTAGTCGTATTAGTCTGTATCAGCAAAAACAACGAGGAGTCCTTGTGGCACCCTAGAGACTAACAAATGTATTTGGGCATAAGATTTTGTGGGCTAGAACCCACGTCATCGGATGCATGGAGTGGAAAATACAGGAGCAGGTGTATACACACAGTACATGAAAAGATGGGAATTGCCTCACCGAGTGGAGGGCAACTCCCATCTTTTCATGTACTGTGTAAATAACACCCTTGTAACTCCCCCTTCTCCAGTCTGAAGGCAACGCTCCCACATCGTGTGGCTCGCAGCTCTCGTGACGTAAACCTCACTGATCCTTTAACAGCTTCTGTGCTGTAACCAGTGCCCGTATTTCACCAGCGAGAGCTGGTTTTGAAAAGGATTCAGCTCCTCAGATAAGTATCAGGGGGTAGCCATGTTAGTCTGTATCCACAAAAACAACAAGGAGTCCGGTGGCACCTTAAGGACGAACAGATTTATTTGGGCATCAGCTTTCGTGGGTAAAAAAAACCCCCACTTCTTCATTTTTTGTCTTGCTCACCACACTGCCAGATCATTTACTTTTATCGCCTCTCCCGTATAACGAAGGCTGAATGATGCAGTTACCGCTGTGGCAGGTGAAATGACACCGTATTTAAAATCCAGACTTACACCGCGCCCCACCTCGTACACTTCTGGGCAGCCTCCTCTATGGGAACCACGGGTGAGTTCTGTGAGCCGGAGACAGACGGCAAACCAGACAGACAGAACTTTGATCCTCTTCACAGAATGGTTTCAGAGTCTCCTGGTGCTTCCCACACCCCCTCTCCCCTCCTGATCCCTTTGCTGCCGGCAAACTCAGCCGTTTGACTACTTCTACGACAGCACTTTTAAAAGGGTCCAATAGTTTAGGAACCCCTTTGTGAAATAAATGACCCTGCCCAGGGTAAATCCGGCTTTCCTGAGCTCGGCGACAGCCCCCGTCTGCAGCACCCACCGGGCGCTTCCCCTTCCTGGCACCGACTTCTGCTGTTTGCTGAGAGCCAGGAGCCCCCTGGGAGAGTCACACCCCCCCCCCAATACCCCCACAGCTGCCCCTCCACAACCCCCCCACAGCTGCCCCTCCCCCAGCCCCCCATCTGCCCCTCCACCAATCCCTCCACCAATCCCCCCACATCTGCCCCTCCCCCAG